GTTAGAACAGCTAAAAAATTCTCAAGTAGCTTCTGAACAATGTTATTTGCATAAATAACACAAACGATGTACACACCTCACATTTTTTTTTCACAAAAAACAACATCATATCTACTATCAGTTGTTTTTTTACAGCATACGCAAATATCACACAATATGGTGTCATAGCCTCAGTAACAGAAAAACTGATGTCACCATCTTTTTCTATATGGCCAGCAGCAACAATCCGTCGATCTTCACATATCACCTAAAAAATTTCTTTCAAAACAGTTTTTACAAGGCGTATTCTTTTGGTACTGCTTTTCCTAGATGCTGATTTGGAAAATTGAAGTGTATAAACGGTATGCAAGAATATAAGTAAAAAGTGACAAGAAAAAGAAGTTGAGGTTTTGGTATGTGTACAATTAAGAAATTTAAAATGTTAGATAAAGAATCTCTGTTTATAACTAGTAACCTATAAGGACTTGCAATCTTTTAATTCGGTTTGCATATTTTATCTGCTCGCGAAAAATGGCTTATAAATTTTGCTTTATAGGACTATATTCATACGTTATGCTGTCAGTGCTCAGTTTCTAATACTAGAAGTTAGATGAGTGCAGTTTTTAATGCCTTTCAACTTGAATAGTCTAACTTGTCTTGGTAATCTGTTATTATTTTTTTAATGCTTTAGAACAGTAAAGAAATAGGTTGAATAGTTTTACCACATAATCTGAATGGCATGTGGGACAGCTTTTGAATATCGCTTGAAATATGTCGTCAACCTGATAGACTGGTGTCTGTCTGCTGCTTAGTTCAATCATTGTAAAGTTTAGGCTAAGTGTGTCAAATAACGGTAACACAAGTTTGATAATGCGAGATCTAGAAGATGTTCGAATTCTTGTTCCCTTAAAAGTTAACAAAATTATTATAATGTTTTTTTTTTTTTTTGAAGTTTTACAAACAAAAGAATGTTTAATATACTCTAAAAGTTTGGTGCTTTTGAATGAAGAAAAGGCAATAGAAAACTGCTGCTTTCCTCTTTTGCAAAAATTCTTAATCCGTGGTAACAAACCAATAAACTGTTCTAAGTACAGTTGAAAAAAAAACCCTAATTTTAAAAATAGCAATAACTACAAAAAAAAAATCTGTAAAAACTTACATTTATTTCACACACCAGAAACTTACAAGATACACATAGTTTAGTTTGTACTTTTATGTTAACAACTGCTCCAATAGTATCGTTCCAAGAATCTTGTAGAACATATTTGGAAGATATACATTTATAATCTATACGAACTTGTTGTGTAGACGATACAGTTGTAAGCGGTTGAATCTGTAAGTTGATACTACAACTTTTCTACCAATTAAAGATAGAACTGCAGAAAAGTTTAGCTCAGATTTGTTTTACATTGAAATTTAAATCAATTTATTCAGTAATACTTAGTGTGTTCTCAAAAAAAAAAAAAATACTTCTTTTAAAAATATTCTCTTATTACTGTACTGTTGCTGATGTTTGAATAGTTTTGTTAACTTGTACATTTACTTGTAGCCAAATCAACTATTATGCAATAGTTATCAGCTGATCACAGTATCAGCTCTTATATGGTTGTTTTGGCCTATAAGCAGTATCAAACTCTAAGTTGTTATTATTGCTGTAACTGTTGCTGCTTTTATTGCTGGGTCTGCGCAATGAAATTGAGCAGATACAAATTGGTTTATCGTTAAAGTTGAAGTTGTTCTTTTCAGCAAAAAAGAAGAAAAAGAAGAAGAAGAAAGAGAAGAAAAAAAGAAAAGAAGGAAAAGAAATTGAAATTACATGTGAAAAAGAAAGTGCTTTTTTTTTGTGAATGTTCTTTTCAAAATTCAACTTCTGAAATAAAATGAGCCAACCAAAAAAAAAAAAAAAAAAAAAAAAA